TAAGCAAAGATTCAAGTACCGCGATCTCCACAAGTGGAGACAATCGGGCAAAACTGGGGACGCCATTGAATTTAAAAGGCTCCAATTAAGTAGGAGCAACTATCAGAACCTTTGTCGAAAAAAATTTGATTTGATACCACGCTCGAAATATTCTGACTAAAGGACACACTTCTAGAGAACATTTTTTTTGAAGCATTTTACAGGTATATGCAACGTTATAAGGACTAGTAGTGATAAGAATATTTAGATCGTTTCGACGAATTTTCCAAATGTGCCTTCAATTAAGATATTTTTGGAATAAAAATTACGCTCAAGATCGCAGAATATTTGATCTTTAAAAGTTAGTTTTTTCTGAAAGCACACCTCTTGATAAGGTATCAAATTATTCGTAATTGTTTGTAGAATACAACACATACTTAAGAAGTTCTTAAAATGAAATGTTTCAAAAACTATACGCGATAAACCGAAAATTTTGAAAATTGGGAAATGTGGAATTACAGACTTTGAGTTACTTGCCATTTCGTTATTTTTTAATGCACACTTTTCTTACCTACTACATTTGAAGTGTACACATAAGTGTTAAATGCCCATTTAATTTCAAATCAGAATATGGTGTGCTTCAAAAGTAATGACATAATTAATTTTGCCCCTCTTAAAAATTACATAAAAAATTCACTTGTTTTCATTATTTTTTTAAATTTAAACACCTATAATTCAAAAGTTATGCAGCAAATTGATCCAAATTTTTGTTGAGGCTTCAAGTATACGTCAATGGATTATATCCAAAATCAACCAGCTTGATATAGTTTCCAACAGTGAAAATGAAGCTAAATAACACCAAGGTTACCTGATTTTTATTTTAGATTTGCCCATATACATACATAGCAAAAACTAAACAAATTTTTTAAACTAAAATTTTTTCCGTAACGCCATATTAGATCCGCCATTTTCATTTTCAGAAATCTGACTCGGATTTTAAATCCTCGATTTCGAAAACACCCCTTATATATAAGTTTTTGATAGAAAAGAAAAAATTTTAAAATTTGGTGGCTATATTGGATCCGCCGTTTTAAATTTAAAAAGTCTGCTATCTGATTCGAAATCAGAGCCCTCGAACCCTTCCCTATTACATCAGCTTGTGCTGAAAAGGAAACAAAATTAAAATTTGGTCGCCACATTGGATCCGCCATTTTGAATTTCGAAACTCTGACATTATATACGAAATCAGTGACCTAAAAAACCCCCAAACACTAAGTTTGAAATCAATTTGGTTACTTCTCGACTTTTGTCCAGCAAATGATAGTCGCCAGACCATAGTGCTATGCAACGAATGCATGTGCTACGTTGCAATATGGCAAGAACAATGCATCCACCAATACAAATTTTTAGACCATAAATTGGCGTGACCCGCTCAAATTTGGCCGTACCTCTCTTATAAAAAATAATACCAGACGTTCATCATTTTTATATTTAAATTATTATGTTATCAGTATTTATAATTGAAACGCCAAAATATTTTTGGCTATTTTAAACAATTTTTTATTTTTTTTGCTCCGAATCCGATAACGCCACATTGAATCCGCCATTTTCTATTTCAAAAATATAGCATCTGATTTGAAATCAGCGACCTCGAAACGTCCTATTTATATGAGTTTCTGGTGGAAGGAAAACAATTATAAAATCTGGTCGCCATATTGAATCCGCCATTTTCATTTTAAGAAATCTGACATCATATTCGAAATCAGCGATCTCAAATACTCCCAAACACTAAGTTTCAAATCATCTTGGTTACTTCTCGACTTTTGGCCAGCAAATAATAGTCGCCAGGCCATAGTGCACTCTTTCTAGGGCTTAAGTATAAGCGGAAAATGCGTATAACCGGGTTCCTTATTATTTTGCATATAAACACAAGTCTGGGTCAGGCTAGACATACATACAAGATCCGATCTATTAAAAATCTGAATGTGTTCAAAATCATAAATTTTTCGAATATGTTTTGTGTATACATAAGGGAAATCGTCCACCAGAAATACAAGTTTGAAACTTACTAAATAAATTACAAGACATTTAAGCTAAACCACGCATTAACAATTACTTTAAAATAACTTCGCAAAAAGAAGTACTGCTACTTAAAAGTATTAGAAACACTGCACACTAAAAAAATGATATTTTACGCGTCACCATGATACAAAAAGAAGGTAGTTTCATATAAAAATTTTGACAAAAAAAAACTAAAAACTATCCTAAGTTACAACCAAGCCACATTAAACAGGTAGTATCAGTAGAGCAAAAACAACATTTGCGTGTATTTTGTTGTTGCTTCTGGTATCGAAAGTGTCAAAAACTGTTCTGAATTTTTTCTTCTAAATCAAAGCGTGCCATGTGAAATACAAAAAATTATAAAAAATAAAAAATTGAAATTGGAAAAAATAAAAATTGATGCAACTTTCTTTCCTAGTAAATTTGTTTGCTTCTCGAAGCATTGATCCATCCCAGTGATGCCAGATTGTGGGTAATTTCCCTATTTGAGGGATATTTTGCATCAAAAATTATTAAAAGGGAAAAAAGGGGCACTTCATATAAATAAGGGATTTTCTTTTGACGCAGTTATTGTTGCATAATTGATCAAAATTCAAGAATATTCGACATTCTTACGTAATTAATCGTTCTGAAGATGTGATGTGGAGTGAAATGGTATATAATTGTTAAAAAGTATAAGGACAATTTCGAAAATTTTCTTACGTTAACCAATTCAAGCGCTGAGTAAGAAAGAATCTTTTCAGTTGTAACTGGTGTTTCATGTAAAAAGCGGAACAAATTATCTGATGAAATGTTAAATAGCACATGAATGTGCTTCAATTTTAAAGTCACCAAAAAATTCTTTTAGGCCCTTAGTGAGTGAGCAAAAAAAATGAAAGGGGAAAAACGAATGAGTGAAAAAATTCTTAACAGCGGTCGGCCCTCGACAGGCAATGGCAAACCTCCGAGTGTATTCCTGCCATGAAAAACAGCTTCTCATAAAAATACACTCGCCATTCGGAGTCGGCGTAAAACTGTAGGTCCCTCCCCTTTGTGTGACATCAAGGGGACCGCCACAAATTGGAGGAAAAGCACATATGTGTAAGCGCCAAACTAATATTATTATTTTATATGAATTGGGAATTTTGTGGGATAAATTTTCAAGATGTGGGTAATTGAGGGATTTTTTCCCCATTTCCGTGGGATATTTAACAGAGAATGTCTGGCATCACTGATCCATCCTTTGCAAGGCCCAGTAATCAGCGGTCGTGCTGCCGAGTTGGGCGAACGTTCCAAAAGCTGCTATTCAATCGCTTGTTTTGTATGGAAAAAGGTTTCACAAGCAAATGGATTTTAACAACTTATAATTTTCGTGAGAAAAAATTAAAAATATTTGACATTTTCGAGACCAAATAATTTGAAAATAAATCAAATCAGCTGCTCTACTGATACTACCTGTTCAATGTACCTTGGTTACAACTAAAGCTACTCATAGTCGCCTTAGTTTCGACTTTTCTGACTAAGTACCAACTTAAAATTTAGTTTCGGCTGCAGCGCAATTAAGTCGTAACTATTATTTTATTAAATTAAGGAAAAAAAGACGAAATATGTAAAAATTAAGTTGGCAGAGCGTGATTTTGATAATATTGAATTATCCCTAATTGAAACTTACGAAGAGCGATCCATTGAATCGGAAGATGAAATTAAATGCGTATTACAATTCGACTAAGGCTACATCACAATTCTATAATTTGAATGATTTACATATATAAATGCTCAAATAATAAGTCAATTTCAAGCTTGTTCTTTCAAAGCAAATTAGTGCATAACATTTAGATATGTGTTTGCATGTTTCACAGCATGCTTTCGATAAACATCGACTTCACATCATTGCGGTAGTTCTGGCTATTTCACACAATTAACAAGAAACGTATACCTTATTCTTTTGCATAAATATGAAAGTAAAAATTACATAAACGGATGATCGAACTTGACATTATTTAATAAAAATTAAATTTTTCCAAAATATCGTAATGAAAAATCGGCACATTTTCACACTCCTTTTGCAATATCGTAAAACTAAGTTAAAACTACTTAGTAGAAGTCTGAAATGCGACTATGGATAGAAGTGAATTTTAAGTTGGTACTTAAATTTAAGTTGCAACTTTATTAGTTTCGACTTAGTGGCTGGACTATGAATACGCGCCGTTATGTTTTTATCATGATTTGCACAATGATTTTTTGGTGAGGAGCGGAGGGGAAGGGGTGTCTCACCAAAAACTCATTAGAATGAGCACAGTATAAACTTTAAGAAAAGTTATCCTTCGCCTCCCTGCCCCTTCTAGAGACACTCGGGGCCCATTTCAAAATGGGGTAAAATTAGCATTCTCGCAAAGAAAAATTAAACTCGTGTTGGGCCATCAGCGGTATTTTTGCGCAAAACTCCTTTCCGCGTTGATAGCCTTCGGCCGCGCTAGAAAAAATAACCTCATCAGTCCAACTCCGGTTACGCCATCCAGATAATTTTTTCGAAAAATCTACCTCCAAATTTACAAAGAAAGTGCATAGGTATTTCAAACCGAAATGTTTGTTTAAATGAAAGCTTAATCCTTTGGCCAAACTTATATGTAAAATTTTTTTTAATATGGTCATCATGGCATGTAGCTATAGTGGGAAATCATGATTTGCATAATCAGTTAAAGCGCTTTATTTTGTAGTGTACCTTGAATATACATAAATACGTACATATGTACATACATACATATGTAGCGTAACAGTTAAATCGGTGAAAGTGTGACACAATTTATTATTCTCTCTTGTTGATTATTTATTCAGCACTCGGCATATTTTTTCTCTCACCGGCTAAGCTAACTAATGGTCAAACAATGACCGCAGTCTTCATGGTGAGTAAAAATTATCATAAATCTCCAAGTATAACGCATTAAGGGTAAAAGGACACAGTCCGTAATATAACGATTAATCGAGAGTTTTAACGAACTTGTGCACGAATAAAAAGTGTACGCGCTACACATCGCCGCCAGTTCGAATCGAGTTTTGAAGTAGATACAACGACCTGTTTAAACGAGCGCAAGTTCTTAGTACACATTAGCACTATTTAAGTAAAGCATATAGCTAGGCGCATAAACGTTAATATGAGTTGTCACAAGAATTCCACCCCTTTGTAATTTGGTGAAGTTGACATGAACAAATTTTTACCTACGCCAACGCAAATTGTAATACATATGAATGGAAATATAATATTAAATTAAAAGTATACCAACATAAATTCATAAGTACTAGTTACTTATAAGAATGTAAATTAGTGAAAATAGTGTGTGACAAATTATGGCGCCTGATTTCACCATCTGATTGAAGAAATGAATATCTAATAAATATGCAAATATGTGCTTATATGTAAACATTATGTAAAACGTTTGAAAGGAATACATCTACTTAAATTATTTTTGATTTAAATGCATATTGTTTAATAATAAAAAATAGATTTTTTTTTTAATATTTGCGTTGAACGGAATTCCAAAGTTATGGTAACGCGTGCATCGAGTGTGCCTCATTTAAATAGTAGCGCTGGCAGCAGCAATGAAAGTGCCTCAGGTTCTGGTTCCGGACCCAATAGTCGCCGAAGTCGCCTACCAAATACGCGCGCAAAACGCACGGGAAAAAGTGTTACGCCCACGCAAACGCGCAATTTGTCTGGCGGCATGCCACGTTCACGGAGCCTTACCCATGGCATGCGGAGATCTACTCCTCAGAAGAGCAATAGCAGTTCCGGTGGTATGGGAACGAGGAATACTCCGGTTTTTCTACGTTCCCGCGAAAACGAGTAAGTGAAGTTCCCATGCATGTGGCCATCCGAAAATATGCAGCTAATCGTACTAAAAAAATGTGTGTGTGCTTTTTGAAAGTATTTAATTGACTAGGAAATCGTTTCAAAAGTTCTTCGATTAGGGTGATTAAAAATGTGTGTCTTTTAATATGCTTCCTAAGTCAAGTTTATCACGCAGTTCATTAGCCTCTTCTGTAAAATTATCGTGGAAAGCTAAGTTTTGTATATTTTTATAATTGGAAAGAATTTATTTGAAGGGAAAAATCACCAAAAATCGCCAATGGCGATTTCAGAAATTTTTACGCGCAAATATCAAAAAAAAAATCTGGACACTCTGGTAACACCGTACATATGATAGAAGTGAAACTTCTTAAAAAAGGTGTGAGTCCCAGGTACCTACTCACGAAATTTGATGTGTAAACATATGTTTACGGTTCGGCAAACCATTAGGCGATTGAGTTACATACAAAGGTTTGGTTAGAAATCAAACAATAATTTAATTTCATCTTATTAGTTTTCTGATATACATATAATTTATTTATTAATTTTCCGGTAACACCACCAACGTACGCACTTTTGTTTGCAAAATGCATTTATTTAAGTTGAAAGAAGTCACATTCCTTTGTTCGGCATTTATTCTTACTCGCTTTCTATCTTCCAAGGCGAATTCATATACAGTATATTTTGCTTTGTTGCCTTTATGCTTAAGTGCACATTTAAGATAACTACCCCAAAATGTGCATCAGCGGCATTATTTTTAACATTTATAAGGAAACTGCTCCGATAGATGCATTCAACATACTTGCATATTAGCAATACCTGCCTTAAAAATTGTGCAAATATTGTATTACGTTTACCTGCACTGGCCCTATATTTACCCTAATTTGACAAGCTTTTATTTATTTTTCTCATCTCGCAGAATAACGCAAACGGCTATAATTTTTTATGTAGTTATGTAGATAATTAGATACCATTCGGAAAAAATTTCGCTTGAAGTAATTTCTACGTGGTAGGTGCTCCTCCATTATTTGGTTTCATAGGAATTTGGATACCTTCCTCATTCAAGTAGCAAAGAAAATTCGCTTAAGTGCTTTTTTCGGTTAAACGCACAAGGGTTTCGGGCAAAGAAGAATGGGCAGCTAAGCAAAATATACTGTATTCTTATCACGAATTAGGGTTGCCAGACGTACTGCTTTTGGGAGTACACGTACTTCTTTTTATTGCAATGTACTCCCTTGTAACCCCAAAAAAAAAAATATGGAAATGTACTCCTTTATTAGTTTTGTACTTCTTTTGTTCTCCTTTTTCCAGCTATTAATATTTTATCATATACAGGGTGTAAAATAATAACTGTCGCACAGTTTTATTTTTCCTTATAGATTTTGCGAAAATTTTATTAATTCGTTTTTAAATATTAACCTTCATTGGGGTTTACCACCGGGTTTGGGAGAAAAGCGCAAGTGGCACGCAAGTCTTCATCGGTTACTTTATTACATATCTTCTGTAAATATAGGCTAATATCTCCCATTATACTAATTAATAAAATTAATGTAAAAGAAAAAGAAAAGTACTCTTTTTCGCAACATCTATAAAGGACCCTTTTATTTTTCAAAAAACCTGTGCGACAGTTTTTATCTTACGCCCTGTACTTTGCCATTCATATTGTGGCAAACACTACTTAGTAAGCAAAGTTAAGTGTGGTAGAGAAAAGGTGTAGGCATGGTCGTAGCAAGGTAGGTGCAGAGCACTCGGGTATAAAAACCAGAAAAATATTAAGTTAATTATAAGGCTTAAATTAAAAAACTGGCCATATATTCAGAAAGAGTTCTTTTGTAGAATTTAGTTGGAGAAAATTTCCTATAAGGGCGGTCATTGAAGAGGTGGTGAGCGAAGAGGGAGTGGGCGTAGCACCCCCGACCACCTAGGCCCCCTATGGGCCCCCTTTGATCACCATCTCTTTAACGACCGCCCTTATTGCAAAGACAGCCCATTTAACTATTTATTTTTAACATTTATTGTTGCTTTGAAAAAGATTTCTAAAATATCTTTGTTTATTTGTACCTAATTAATGGTAATTTGTAACAATGAATTGCACAAAAAATTAAAAAAAAAATGTGTACTCCTTTTTTAGGTCTTATACTGCTTTTTTTTCTATCGAAAATATAAATGTACTCCTTTCTCCGTTTCAAAATCTGGCAACCCTATCACGAATTCATATATTCATGTGGTAGCAAGAGTATAAAAACATAAAATTACCTTATAAATTAAAAGCATAAGTATCACATGTATGCGTAGTCCAATTCACGAAATCATTTCATCGATCTGAGTAAAAACTAAGTGCATAAACTCTATTTCGCGATAATTGAAATCATGAAATGGTGTTCATTCATTCAGTTTCTACTTAAACGCATGAAATTATTTCATGAATTGACCTACGCATAATGGTAGTAAATGACAGAATGAATTACAACAAACACATCCTTTTGACATAATGCAAGCCGAAAACGTTGGTTCAAATCAATCCGCAATGAAAGTTGGACGTTTTGCCCACAAACATTGCAATTTTGCGAGCAGTCTCATTGTAAAATCTCATTTTTACGATATCATAGTTTCGGCTTACATTTATAAAATTCAACGAAAGCACGTACCTATTTCGGCTGAGTTATCCATTTTCGGTTATTTAGTGTACAAAATAAACGCAAATTAAATGAGTTTGTACAACATGGCCATTAATGTAGCGATAAGTTGTACAACTTGCCAGAAAATCCAAATTTTTTGATCTTTCATACAACCGAGACATAAATTCATTCAACAGGCCCACAAAAGGTGCAATCTAGAGCAAAACAACACCAAGTTGAACCAACGGTCGCTACGTTTAACATCGGGCGAAAATTTCAACTGTTCCTGTAACACTACCTTATATAAGATGGCCTTGCTATCATCCTCACATACATAGTGATAGAACGATACGAGTACCGAGTACAGAACATCGATACTTTTCATGAGTACTGAGTAGTATCGGCAACTCGTGCCATGGTCCAAAAGGAGTAGTTGTCGAGGTCGTCCCATATTATGCAGCGGTAGACCAGAAGTGGTCCCATGTTATGCAGCAATGATTCTAAAATTATATTATTTAAAATATTTTTGAAATATATTTCCTTAAGTAAAAATTTTTTTTAAATTTCTTCAAAGAATATGGTAGCTTCAATTTAAAAGAAAATTTCACAAGCACAGTTTACGTGAAACTACCTTTAAATATTTGCATCGTGATATGTACATACATACCAGGGTTGTTGCGAATATTCGCGTTCGCATTCGCAACCGCGGAGCTTCCGCATTAATTTTAACAATCGCATTCGCTTTCGCATTCGCAAAAATCAATGCGGATCTTTTGCGAATGCGAATATTGAAGGGACCGAAAATTACAGTTATTTTTTTACGAGTTAAACTTGGCCAAATATTTTTTATTCCGAAATAAAAGTACTTTCCGGATAACAAACAAAACGCTTATCCAAATTAAACAAGTTTGGTATCCAATGAAAGAGGACTTAAATAGCTTTAAAACTGAAACAAAAACCGTTTATGACATGAACACCCCTTTAAGGAGGGTGCTATGTCAATTCAATGCTTATTCTTCTTCCTTAGAGTTTGATTTCTCTTCTTCAAAGCTTAATTTTTTGGAATATACTTGTAAGGCATTTGTTATGATAACCATGATATATATTTATATATTTTTATTTTTTGCGTTATCCTGTTTTATAAATTTGTAATATTGTCTGTAAGCACATTGTATATTGACTAATAAATAAAGTCACAGTTTTTTAGTAACTACATACACGAGCTGCTCATTTGCCAGATATACAATATTCCAGTCAAGTAAAATCTAAGTCTTACATAACTGAGCTTTACAAATTCGCGTTGATTTTTGGTTATTTTTTTTTGCCGACGGTGTTATTACATTCTTCCATACAAAACCGCTTGTCGTGACGCCGTCAGCAAAGAAAAAATTTAACGGTATTTGGTAGACACCTCAAACTAGAATATTGTTGCTGCGCTACTTGTTTTAATTTTTCTTATTTTTTGTACAAAGTGAGAAATTTGTATTTACATACATGGCTTTTGTTAGACATATAATTTTGTATACGGTATACAACGGTACCATAATACCAGGAATTCCTTTTTCTTATTGGAAAACTGTTTCAAAAAATACTGTACTCTTAAAAAATGCATTTATTTATTTTTAAATGGAGATACAGCGAAACCGGATTTTTCGCAGTAATATACAGTTTTTGTCCAAAAAAAGATACGAGCGTTGGTTATATATGCACATACAAGCCAGAATATTCGATTTGCGGACTTCAGCTTTGCGGTTCAAATTTCATCGGATACCAGTTTATTTCATTGAATCTGATCAAAAGTTTTATTGGTAGGATATTTTTTTCTAGAGTACGTTAGTGCAGGGGCTCCCAAACTTTTAAGATGATGGAACCCTTACTGAACAACTTTCGTTTTATGGAAGCCCACATCAAATTACTAAAAATCAAAGGTAGTGCAATTTAAATATTAATAAAAACTTTTACTAGAAATAGTTAGCATACATACTTTCAATTTTAATGTGAAAAATAAAATTGTTTCTTTGTTATTAATTATTGCTTTATAGTTCGATATAATGTCTGAAAGCTGTATGCGCATTTTTGGTGTAGCGTCCAAGTTCGACCTGAATTTGTTTTTCGTATAAGTTTAAGCTGAAACCCCTGTTGGCAGAGTATGTTGTGACGGAAGGAAGCAAAGTTAAGATAGCCTTTTCCGCGACTTCATGAATTTCACTATTAACACCAAACCGATATTACTACTACCATCCGAAAAATAATCTGCTTCAGATTTCAGGAGATTTACCAAGTGCCCAATATGACATTTTTACTTCGTTTGGCAATTCATCGCGTTCCTTGTAGAAAGTTGTATAAAATCTATAGCGACCTACAACAAATACCAATTAG